TTTCACCGTCTGGTCTGAGAGCTTGATTTATTGAGTGTAAGCCAGATACCAGCTCCGCATCACAGCGGATACTGAATGTATTAAGTTTATTTTGTTTTATATCCTATCACAGGGTTATTTAATAGCGACACGTTATATGAGAGGAGAATGTATATGTATTGACTGTGTGTGTTTTTGGCAAGCTGGAACATATTCGTAGAACACTTCTAGTGATAACGAGGAACTGAAGACGATTTTATAGTGCTATCTCACTGTATGGTACATGCTGGCGGTAGGCATACAGATATTAGATTTCCCGCGGAAAAGTCATTCATCTACACAACATTTTCACTCCTTAATTCTCTTTATGAGAAAGACAGTCACTAGATAACACTATAAGAAACCTAAAGCAGTTACTCTTATAATTTATCGCGTTACCAATTGTGTCTACCGTTCCTATTTCTGCCGGAACTTCTATTGGAAGTTGTAAACATTAACCATACCGACATAAAGCACAAAAAGAACAAAAACATACAAAAAAGCATATTTTTCTACTTTTTCGAAAAGGAAACTAACGCTTTTAGGGAAGTCGATTATTATACAAAGTTTAATTATTCCTAAGATTAATTTTCTTGTCAATGCAGTTGGAATAAATAACGATATAATGAAAACCTTCGAAAAAATGTTGTATAAATTTATATGGAATGGAAAGCCTGATCGGGTAAAGCGAAATGTAATAATTTGTGACTTTGATAAAGGTGGACTAGGAATTGGAGACATTGAATGTCATGTTTATGTTATACGTATTTCATCGATTAAACTGCAAAATTATACCGCGATTTTATTTTTATAAGTTTGGTAAGAATAATTTGGTATTTAAAATGAATACAGGATCTGTAAAACTTTTGCAAAATATCCGCGAGTTACCTCGTTTCTATTTGGATATACTATGTGCATGGTACAAAATACATATAGATGGTTAAATCAATAATTACAGAGAAATAAAACAGCAAGTGATCTGGGGTAACAGATATATAACACTTAATGGTAAAGCTTTATGCTTTAAGATGTGATACGACCAACACTGAAATAGGGCTCCAGGTATGATTGTTGGTAACTGAAAATTGAATACGTTTTTTAGCTACAAAGGATAAAATCTAACTACAAAGGATTTGGTATAGGGAACAGAATTTGAGAAACAAATAAAAGATAATGTTTGCACTGTGATGAGAAAAACTGAGAAAGTAACGATATTAGCAAAACCAACCGTTCATATTAAGCAATTGGATGTATGTATGTATGTATGTATGTATGTATGTATGTATGTATGTATGTATGTCTCCATATAAGCTATGAAATATAAAACGAGATGTATTTTGAAAACTAGAAAATGATCGAAAACAAGAAAACGATTGGATGTGAAAGCTTTAGTCTTACATGTTAGGAAGTCGATTAGTGTAATTACCTTTGACAACTACCTGTTTGCTGGCTGATTACGTCAAAAACTTCTCTGCTCTGGGTGAAAGAAAAGAGAATGCAGTGTGAAGAAAGATTTGGTAGAGAGGACTTTGTGTTCGTCTTTATGTTTTGTTTTTGTTTTTTTTTTTTTTTTTTTTAATTTTCATACGAGACTGCATTTATCGAATGCAACACCTTATCAAAACTGGTCTAGACCTTGTAAAACTGGTCTAAAAGACCCTGTAAAACTGGTCTAGAAGACCTTGTAAAACTGATCTAGAAGACCTTAGAAGACCTTGTAAAACTGGTCTAGAAGACCTTACAAGACCTTAGAAGATCTTGTAAAACTGGTCTGGAAGACCTTGTAAAACTGGTCTAGAAGACCTTGTAAAACTGGTCTAGAAGACCTTACAAGACCTTGTAAAACTGGTCTAGAAGACCTTACAAGACCTTGTAAAACTGGTCTGGAAGACCTTACAAGACCTTGTAAAACTGGTCTAGAAGACCTTACAAGACCGTGAAAACTGGTCTGGAAGACCTTACAAGACCTTAGAAGATCTTGTAAAACTGGTCTGGAAGACCTTGTAAAACTGGTCTAGAAGACCTTACAAGACCTTGTAAAACTGGTCTGGAAGACCTTACAAGACCTTGTAAAACTGGTCTAGAAGACCTTACAAGACCTTGTAAAACTGGTCTAGAAGACCTTGTAAAACTGGTCTAGAAGACCTTACAAGACCTTGTAAAACTGGTCTAGAAGACCTTACAAGACCTTGTAAAACTGGTCTGGAAGACCTTACAAGACCTTGTAAAACTGGTCTAGAAGACCTTACAAGACCGTGAAAACTGGTCTGGAAGACCTTACAAGACCTTAGAAGATCTTGTAAAACTGGTCTGGAAGACCTTGTAAAACTGGTCTAGAAGACCTTACAAGACCTTGTAAAACTGGTCTAGAAGACCTTACAAGACCTTGTAAAACTGGTCTAGAAGACCTTGTAAAACTGGTCTAGAAGACCTTAGAAGACCTTGTAAAACTGGTCTGGAAGACCTTACAAGACCTTGTAAAACTGGTCTAGAAGACCTTACAAGACCTTAGAAGATCTTGTAAAACTGGTCTGGAAGACCTTGTAAAACTGGTCTAGAAGACCTTGTAAAACTGGTCTAGAAGACCTTACAAGACCTTGTGAAACTGGTCTAGAAGACCTTACAAGACCTTGTAAAACTGGTCTAGAAGACCTTACAAGACCTTGTAAAACTGGTCTAGAAGACCTTACAAGACCTTGTAAAACTGGTCTAGAAGACCTTACAAGACCTTGTAAAACTGGTCTAGAAGACCTTACAAGACCTTGTAAAACTGGTCTAGAAGACCTTACAAGACCTTGTAAAACTGGTCTAGAAGACCTTACAAGACCTTGTAAAACTGGTCTGGAAGACCTTACAAGACCTTGTAAAACTGGTCTAGAAGACCTTGTAAAACTGGTCTAGAAGACCTTACAAGACCTTGTAAAACTGGTCTAGAAGACCTTAGAAGACCTTGTAAAACTGGTCTAGAAGACCTTACAGGACCTTGTAAAACTGGTCTAGAAGACCTTGTAAAATCCTTCAATGTCTCTTTCAGATATATAGATATCGTTATTAGTGAAAAGTAATTTATTGACCATGTTCATTTTACATACCCACCAGAACTTCTATATCACCCGGTTATCTCGATCTTCTCCTACAATGACACCAACATGGACAGGTTTCCACTCATCTGTATGATAAGTGTGATGATTTAAAGTTCCATTTCTATAGAAGAGCCTCTCGTGTCCTCGATTTTCAATTCTGGTGGGATATACGATGGACTAAGGTCGAAAAAAGTGTGACGAAATGGTACTCAGATTAAAGAACATAGTGCACAATGTACTGCAGTCAATTCGGCTCCGCTATATCTAATATCTCACGAAAGTGGAGAAAATGCTAAACATTTTTTGTTCTTAGTAAATTTTAATTTGAAAAATATTTCTTAATCAGTAGATCAATAAGTTCACAATAATGGAGATATGACTTTTTTTTAACAATGACGTCACAGTGCGTATAGAAATGCGTAGTTGGGAGTTAGGGCAGATCCCGAATCGTCTGTCCGTTTCTCGTAATGAGATGCGTCTCCGTTCTTGAATCCGACTTTGTATACGCATTCTGCTACATTCTCTTTGGTTGTTTATCCTGGGGATGGACTAGACATCTCCTTGAACTATGTAAGACTTCTGTTGCAATGACACGGAAATCATGTGACTACCTGTCCTTTAATGTTTCCTTTGGTGTTTCGTCACTTAGTTGTTTTACTTACAACAACTTCGCTGCTAACTCTCTGGATTGTCCAGTCAAGGAATCGCATGTTTTCTTGAAGACAGAATTGTCTGTAGTCTTCGTTTAGCTATGAAAACCAAGTGGTGTTCTTCACGGGTACATACTCTATATCTCGGTATTTTAGTTTTCATTTCGTGTCTGTCTTTGCCTCACTTGTCTAAGTGACAATCATCGTTTACATTAACTTATCATAGTCCATCAACCTCTTTGTCTATGTGTTTACAGAAACAGGATTACTGTTCACGTATATTGTTTAACACTCCAATCTACAAACATAAGACACACGTATCACGTTTGTATTGATGACTTCTGCACAACATTAGTAAAATCCGCTGATTATTGTGAATATTCATTGAACTGAAAAGTACTTTTATCTCACTCGGCTCATCTTGTATAGTTTTAATGGTTACATTCTTCCCGAAATAATTCTTTTCTGTTTACTATTGTGTTGTCTTATGATAACCTTCTATCCTGTTTAATGTGATATAACGCAGTTTCTTTTTTGGCAAACGTCTAAAAGATGCAGACTTATTCTATTACATGAACAATAAGAAAAACACAAATGGTACAAAAAACTGTTTACTTAGAAAAATAGTAACAAACTAATGTCACCAAGAGGTCAGCGATGTATTATATACCTCACGTACCTGCTCATCCGTAAGGATACACACAGGTACAGGTAGAACTCTCACTCGTCCAATCTCAGGCACATGTGGATGGTCAGTGTTTGTTTTCTATTCACAGATAAGGAAATCTCGTGGTGAGTCTAAACATTTATTATCATCAGATTTAGGAGTGATGAAAATTAGAGAATCTCGATTCTAAAACTAAAAACATAGTAAACCTAGACGACTTCATAAAAATCCAGATATTCATTAATATGGTAGGTAACTTATGCTATCAAACACGTGTTTAAACTGTTGGTGTTCTGTTTGTAAACGCGTGTTTAGACTGTTGGTGTTCTGTTTGTAAACACGTGTTTAAACTGTTGGTGTTCTGTTTGTAAACACGTGTTTAAACTGTTGGTGTTCTGTTTGTAAACACGTGTTTAGACTGTTGGTGTTCTGTTCGTAAACACGTGATTAAACTGTTGGTGTTCTAACAGATTTATGTTACTTTACGATACCCTATGGACGTAAGGTCCCTGTAGTAGGTTTATGACAGTGTCCGACCTACTTCATCATTACAGAGGTAAACGTTCCAACACGGAGTGGAAAATGGAAAAACCAGATGTTGTAGAGCCGTCTTCACGAAACAGCTTCCTTTCTGACACCACAGAGAGGTCCGGAAATAACCAAAAAACACCCGCCAAGGAAGAATGGGGGAGCAAAGTGGACTTCCTGTTATCTGTACTCGGATATATCGTTGGTTTCGGCAACATCTGGAGGTTCCCATACGTGTGTATGAAGAATGGTGGAGGTATGTACAGAACATCCCAAAGTATTGTGACTGATTATACAAGGAGCTTTCCATCCAACATTTACCTTTAGCGGAATCCAGTGTTATGTCGTTCAAAATCCGTGCCCATTTTGACTAATGACCCAAAAACCGTGACATGATTTATGTAGAAGTCCAGTCACAACCTGGTCATCCCTAACCCTAATCAAAATCGTCGGAAACCAAACTAGAACATATCTTGTCGTACCAAACCGGCCATATTTTATCTAGTTGCCCGAAACCAAACTATGAATTATTCGGTCCTCTCGATTCCAGTCATAACTTACTTGGTCGTTCCACACCAAACCTTAAAATATCACGCGTTCTATACCTATACACAACTTAACTGGTCGACTCTAACCCTGCGATAACATATCCCGTTCTTCCAAATCTTTGACTGTCACAACTCATTCCCAAGCCAGAACTTGTCAGGACGTTCTAAGCCAAGCAATGAAATATCGGGCTGTCAAAACCCAACCATAATTCATTCGATTGTTCCATACCCAGCCATAACTTATCCTGTTGTTCCAAAACAGGCCATAACTTATCCTGGCGTTCCAAACCCAGCCATAACTAATCCTGGTGTTCCAAAACAGGCCATAACTTATCCTGGCGTTCCAAACTCAGACATAACTTATCCTGGTGATCTAAACACAACCAAAACTTATCCTGTTGTTCCAAACCCAGCCATAACTTATGTGGCGTTCTAAACACAGCCATAACTTATCCTGTTGTTCCAAACCCAGCCATAACTTATGTGGAGTTCTAAACACAGCCATAACTTATCCTGGCGTTCCAAACCCAGCTATAACTTATCCTGGTGTTCCAAACCCAGCTATAACTTATCCTAGTGTTCCAAACCCAGCCATAACTTATCCTGGTGATCTAAACACAACCATAACTTATGTGGCGTTCTAAACACAGTCATAACTTATGTGGCGTTCTAAACACAACCAGAACATTTTGTGTGATCACTTAACGTTGCATTATGTGGGATGTGTGCATGGCGTGCAGACCGCATGATTGGTTGTTGATAACTGGAGGAATTATACTGTGTGCAGGATGTACGGTTCTATCGCACAGATGTGAGATTCTATCGTGGTTCATAAATATTTTGGAAATGACATGAAAAGGTGTTTGTATAGAGTGTATTTATCTTTGAAAATATTGAGTACAACTTAGTATATTTCCTAATTAGTATTTGTTTCAGTCAGAAGCATGTAGATCTATATTGTACAGACTAAATGGCTATTTTATGGAGTGCCATACGCTTCGTGTACAGACACTCGTTATATATAGATATATACATAACAAAAAAGAAAGAGTATAAAGATTTGTATCCTCGGCAGCTATATCAGGTTTCATTGAAAAACGGGAGGTCAAATGATTCAGCGGGATGTCTGTTTATGGATGTTAAATGCGGACCAAAATGTGATACGGTTCGTTGATTTTGTGTGATGAACAAGACAGTGGTGTTTGAGGAACGGCCAGAGTAACTAGTTTGTCCACCATTGGCAGAGACCATTACAACGCCTGCGCACAGAGTCTTTATCTCGTCTAATGTGAGCCTGGATGTTGTTTCACTTCTCGATCAGTGCCTGCTCTAGTTTCCTATACGTTGGAGGGCAGAGTATTCCGGTACCCTACTCACTGTCTAAGACCACCCCAGATGTGCTCTATTGGGTTCAGATCGGGGCATTTCTTTGCTGCAATAACGTTCTAGTCACGTGATGGGTGTGGAATGTCGCATTATCATGCTGCAAAATGAACCCTTTACCTTAACGTTGCGAGAACGGGTGGGCGACCGGTGCTATTTTTTCGGATACCTTTGCGCGTTTTAATTGCCTCTGACAATGACTTATCCGGGTCGATTTCCATCCGATATGCCGCCCCATAACAGTATCCCTAAAAAATATGTCATGCTCTGCTATACAGCCGTCTGCTTTTTAGGCTAAACGTACTCAGTACGCATAGCCTATTGTGACGGCCTTTCAGACAAAATTTACCGATCCTGGCCTTCTCATTGGCTGAAATATCGAAAACAGTTGGAGCCCTCTAGCGGCAATTTTTGCGTAAATAATGCCGCGATCTTTCAAATCCCTATTTTAAAAGCATCCAAAATTAGCTTATATTTTAATAACAATACGATTACTATATATTTCAAAAAAGAAGCACAGTGTGGTTGAACTATTGATAATTTTTGAACAATATATTTTACGGAATTCTCGACATGACGTAAGCGTACAGAACACTGTACGTGCGAGTTGATAAGAAGCTAGTCTGGGGGCTTAGTTTGAATTATCAACTAACAACACTTATAAACAAACAAAACTTACAAACAGAACATCAGTTTTGTTTTAATCCTTGTCGTTGTTGCAAGATCATCTTAATATATAACATCACTTTACCTCATTAGACGTCACCGAATTGGACTGTTCGTCCCACGCGCACAGCCGCCGATATGACACTTTTTCAGGTTTTTCACACCCACCGCCATGACACTTTTTCAAGTTTTTGAAGATAAAAAGTTTGCGCTTCGTAGGCAAGTTACATTTGGTGTTCATGATTTATGAATAATATATTTTAATACTGTACTGATCATGATGTTGACACTGTTATAACTTATATTTTTTGTCTTTTAGTTTTATTTGATGAAGGTTGATTGTGCTGATTTTTCAATGTTTGTTAATGTGTATCAAAAGTCCTTGAAATGAAAACATTTCTTCAAACAAAGCGCATATAAAAAAAAACCCAAAATATTCATGTTTATAATTATCAATTAACTAGAACGAAATATTTTCATAACACATTTATTCATTTAGCGTGTCGTGGTGACATTATCTAATGCATTGGAGATCAGAAATAGTAGTAGCTATAGTGAAAATATTGTAAATTTTGTATATATATGGAAGTCTGGTTTAATCTCAAAGAACTATGTCTTTATAGACATAATTACTGGAAGAAAAGTCTAACCATGATACTTCAAGGAAGATAGGCATGTAAATACATTCAATGTAATTACTTACACTTTAATCGATCTGAAATGCTGTGTATACCTTATCTACTTTCCTCAACTACAAATATAATTATAATAAGTAAGGACTATTACTTTGCAATACATTCAAAATAAAGAAGTAGGTATAAAGCCGTTTCGATTTGTCTAAATCCTCATATTGATAGGATAGTAATTGCAACATCTTGAGTATTTCAAAGGTTTTATTTAGTCTACTTCATCATAGAGCTATTTATCTTTTGGCTTGTTTGCGATAGATATATGGTTGTGTGTATTTTGTTATGTTTTTTTTTACCTATTTTGATTTGTTCACATTATTGTCGTCAAATTTGAAATAAGAATTAAAGAAGATATAAAATCGCTTAAAATTAAGAAAAATAGCCTCTGGTTCTCTCATTTTAGTAATTTTTGCATTCCAAAGTGTAGGAGTATGGGGAAAGTAATATAGCTTAGCGGTTATTTGTGAACATTTTTCAAAACGTTTAGCCTCTCAGTACTTTCAGTACTTTGATTCCTTCTGACATATACATATTTGTATATATTACAGGCTTTCTTTGAGGACGTTGCCATAGTTAAACAATTTTAAAACCAAGTGTGATTTTTTCAAGCGATAAATGTTTTGAGATAAAGCGTTTTACAAAATACAATTGAACAAATCTCGAGTAAAGTGAAAGAACTGATTTTGTTCTATGAGACAATGTTTGAATTTCACACCTGACAGTGACTATATCTATTTCATCAACCAACGGTTGGTGTACGGCAAGGTAACTTGATAACATCCTTTTTCTTTAGTTGAAGAGTATGTATACTCGGGAATAAGACCTAGCCGGTACGTACCTGCAGGACACTACCATAAACAAGTTTATTTTGTTACTGGGGTACATAACTCGCCACTCTTTAACATGTGAATCTATATACACTAAAAAGACTAATCAATACGGAAATTGGTTGTATTTTGTCAAATTCTGAAGGAATAGTATACTTCATTCTATCTCTACATCATCAGAGGGAAATGTATACTTCATTCTACCTCTACATCATCAGAGGGAAATGTATACTTCATTCTACCTCTACATCATCAGAGGGAAATGTATACTTCATTCTACCTCTACATCATCTAGGAGAAGTTTATACTTCATTCTCTCTCTACATCATCAGAGGGAAATGTATACTTCATTCTACCTCTACATTATCTAGGGGAAATGTATACTTCATTCTATCTCTACATCATTTAGGAGAAGTTTATACTTCATTCTCCCTCTACATCATCAGAGGGATATGTATACTTCATTCAACCTCTACATCATCAGAGGGAAATGTATACTTTATTCTACCTCTACATTATCAGAGGGAAATGTATACTTCAATCTACCTCTACATCATCAGAGGGAAATGTATACTTCATTCTATCTCTACATCATCAGAGGGAAATGTATACTTCATTCTACCTCTACATTATCAGAGGGAAATGTATACTTCATTCTACCTCTACATTATCTAGGGGAAATGTATACTTCATTCTACCTCTACATCATCAGAGGGAAATGTATACTTCATTCTACCTCTACATCATCAGAGGGAAATGTATACTTCATTCTACCTCTACATCATCAGAGGGAAATGTATACTTCATTCTATCTCTACATCATCAGAGGGAAATGTATACTTCATTATATCACTACATCATCAGAGGGAAATGTATACTTCATTCTACCTCTACATCATCAGAGGGAAATGTATACTTCATTCTACCTCTACATCATCAGAGGGAAATGTATACTTCATTCTATCTCTACATCATCAGAGGGAAATGTATACTTCATTATATCACTACATCATCAGAGGGAAATGTATACTTCATTCTATCTCTACATCATCAGAGGAAATGTATACTTCATTCTACCTCTATATTATCTAGGGGAAATGTATACTTCATTCTACCTCTACATCATCTAGGAGAAGTTTATAC